AGAAGCTCTGAGTGGAGATGACAAGGCTTGGTCACAGACTGCACGTAGGGGTTGAAGGCCAGAGAGGGGCTGATGATGACGGATTTCTTGCTTCAGAGACTAGCAGTATTACTGACAGATGTGAGGAAGCCAGGAAGGTGACCCATGCTGGGAGGGAAGCTGGTAAATTTGCTTTTAGAAAGTTGATTCTGGCTTCACTAAAGTGAAGAAAGCTCTTCCTTCATTCGTAGAGTCACCATAACTTATCTTTAAGGCCGATTTTACATTTTGGCTTTTCTGTTATTCTGTGCATTTTGGGGGAAAGTGGGTGGTATGTGACTTTCATATCCCAAGGATGTCAGTAGTTGAAAAGTAAAAGCTCCTTGAAGCCTCTGTGTTTGATAGGTCTTCGAAGTGATTCCTACCAACTATTTGTAAATGATGTGTATAGCTTTGAATGATTTATTTTCAAAGTTAGGAAAATATACAACTTCTAATGCTTAGTCAATAATTAGTGAAAAATAAACTTCACCAAAGAACTTCTGTAATTTTTCAAGTACCAAATGTTTCACTTCTCAAATATCTGTTTTGCAGAATCATTGACTGCTATTCAACCTTTTGGCTAGCTAATATGAGCACCGAGATAAATAAATGGAGACCTTTTAACCTGTAGACTTTGAATGACAGCTTGGACTAAATCATCAGTCTTCTACCAAAAGAAAACACAAAGGCAACCCTTAACGAAGTTAGACACAGACATGTTTTGAAGGTCAGGTAATTTATTTTTTTGAGGGAAAGGAAGGGTAAAGAATAAATTTTATTAATTATATGTATATTTTCAGTTCCAGGAAGAAATACTTGTTTAGTTTTGCAATACTAAAGACCTGCATAGGATGACTCAAATATTATAAATTACAGAAGGCTAGGCATTATGAGTTTCTAAATTAAAGTTGTTTTTTCTCCACCTCATGGGTCTTTGTGTGGTTACAAAAACACTTTTCCTTACAATGATTTTGTACAATTTTTATACTTCTGATAAAATGTAAACACCTGAAAAAATATATGCATAGAATTTTGTCATTCTCTGAATATGATTTGGCCTGGAAAGAGAAACACTCTCATATGAATTTATGGCTCATCCAAACAGGAAAGTGAAAAACTGAAACATCCTGTAGTTTTGCAAACTATAATTCAAACATACCTATGGGGAGAGGTCTTCAAAAAGTTTATGGAAAATGTGTATGCTGAAAAATTTGCGCGTGGATTTCAAATTTTTTTGTGCCAGAATAAACTTGTATTTTAATCCCATTTTCCACAAACTTCAATGTCTTCTTGTACTAATGTGCATGTGTATACATGTACGCACACACACAAGCATGCACAAACACACACACATATATAATCACACATCCTACTCCTATATACTCACACACACACACACACACACACACACACAATATCTGAGAGAAAAAATGTCCAGCAGGAAGCTGAAGAGTAGAAGTAGAATGGAAAGAGCAGACACACAGAAGAAAGCTCTCAGAGCAGGTTGTCTCATCAGTAAAACATTTTCTTGTCACTTCCTCAGCTCAATATTGAATTGCTCCAGTGTTCTCATGAGATTGTATATTAATTTAATAGACATTTTGGTTGGAAACATTTCTCCCCCAATCATGCAGATTTTATATCTCTCTGTCTTATCACTACTCCTCTCTCAAGGGGGGTCGTTAGAAATGTAGGGTGTGAATCCACACTTGGTTGTGTTGAAGACTCAGTCATCAGTGGATATTAAAGGATCAGTCCTGAAAGGAGATATATTTCCAGGTGGGAAAGAGGAGGGATGAGTTAAAATTAAGGGGTGTGTCTGGTTTGCCAGCTTTCTTTCTGGCATTACCTCAAAAGAGACTATCAGTCAGAAGAGCCCAATTAAGGGGCAGACCGTCTGGGCAATTGCTCAGAGGTGTTAACATGTCACTAGAAAGTTTGGAAAAAGTATGCCAGTTAGTTCAGGTTGCTACATATAGCCAAGGAAGTAGACAGCACCCCCAAATGGAATTTCATAAATAAAACACTGCTTTCCAGTATCTCTATCTCACTAAATAAATACTGGACTTAAAGAATATGAGTTTGAAATGATTCTAGATGACTAGGCTTCCCTGGTGCATACACGCCTAGATGCCAGTCTCTGTGACCAGGGCCACTCACACAGGTTGTTTCTCTGACCACTGCCTATCACAGGACACAGCAGCCCAAGTGAGCCCCGTGCAGATGTAGCAGGAAAGCACTTTTTGGTTGTGCCCAAAGTGAATTCTTAGTCCTATCCCCTGCCTCCTGTAAAGGGGAGTCCGGTCGATCTGAAATTACTTCCTCATTAAATAATAATGCCTGGTGTAATTTTTTCCCTTTAAATCTTTTCTAGTTTCTTGGAACAAACCAAGCATAATCTTCTGTCTTAGGAAGTCAAAGGCTGTATTCACAGAGCTAATCTTCCCCCTAGTTTCTTTCTCACACTTCTGTTAATCCTATCCTTCCATCCTCTAGTCCAGCCTTCCCAGTCTCCCCTTCCTCAATTCATTTTCACTCCTCTTTTTGGCATCAGCTTCTGTAGATGCCCTGTCTGTGGGTAGGATATGCTCACCTGTAGAATAAAGCCCTATGCATAGACTTTAGTCATATATATATATATATATATATATATACACATTTAATTGTTTTAAATTATAGAAAATATGTGTGTGCATGTGACAAGAGAAGAAAAAAGAGAGAGAGAGATAGAGAGAGAGAGAGAGAGAGAGAGAGAGAGAGAGAACCCTCAACAGGTCTCATAATGCCATGATCCCCCTTCTCCAGCTCCTTGGAATCTTAGGCACCTGTGTGTGCAGCTGACGTGGTTTTACGTCCATCTGGGGATACAAACCTATAGTTGGCTCTGTGGTCTCTTGACTTGCAGGACACTGAGTTATGGCTGCACTGCAGTTATAAGGCTAAGGGTTATATTTTAAAAGAACTATATCTAGACCTTAATAAGAAACTGCTAGAATTAAAATGTTAGTTTAAAATTTTTGTCTATATGGTTGTGGAACTCTATTCAATGTTATGTGGACTATAAATTTTTTTCTCTGTAAAAGAAACTTAGATATAATCCCTAATTGTTAAAAAAAGAGACATATGTCACAATAGAATGCCTGGTAAGTAACAGGTAAGTTTGGCCTGCTCTCAAAAACTTGAAGGGAACTGATGTCCATAGGGAGATCTATTTGAGGAATGGTCAGATAAGAAACTGAGAGTGGATATTGGAAAGAATCAGGATACTCACTCAGTAAGGTGGGTGTCTCTGGTCCTGGAGCTCTACCTACCAGTTCCCGGGCAGGAACCATGTCCCAGATTCCAGAGTAACTAAGATGGAAATGGTCATAACTTTCCTGAACGCATTGCCTGATAATAAGCTTAAAGTTGTTAGTTCCAATTTATAGATTTAAATATCTTACAAAACTCTTGCTTCAAAGCAAACGAATGATTATATATATATGTATATATACATATATATGTATGTGTGTGTGTGTGTGCATAATTTTTTATTCACATGGATAGCAGACCCATGAATGAAAAGAAATTAACCCTTATTGGGCAATTATAGTCAGTAGGTTTACATAAAATTACTTTATTAAACCTTTATTAGAAGCCTATGTGGACAACTATAATTGGCATTAATATTCAGCTGCTAAAACAAAGAAACTCCCAAATTTCCATGGCTTAACACAATATATATTTTTTTATTTATAAAACTATTGTGTGTGTGTGTGTGTGTGTGTGTGTGTGTATGTGTGTGTTTCTGGACAATGGTATTAAGCAAGGATGAGTCTGGTGAAGGAGGGGGAGACCTCTGTTTCACATACTTTATTAAACCTTTATTAGAAGCCTATGTGGACAACTATAATTGGCATTAATATTCAGCTGCTAAAACAAAGAAACTCCCAAATTTCCATGGCTTAACACAATATATATTTTTTTATTTATAAAACTATTGTGTGTGTGTGTGTGTGTGTGTGTGTGTATGTGTGTGTTTCTGGACAATGGTATTAAGCAAGGATGAGTCTGGTGAAGGAGGGGGAGACCTCTGTTTCACACAGAGATTCAAGGATTCAGGCTGAATGGAAGCCCTGCCTTTTATAACATGTGGCCACAAAGTTTGCCTTTAATGTCAACAACCAGGAGTGAAAAAAGTATGGAGAATTGGATATAATTTTTTATATATAATTATGGCCTAGAAATGACATGTTATCATTTCTGTACCCATTTTATTGGTTAGAACTGAGTTTCACAGACCTTAAGGGATGGCCAGTAAATGCAACCTAGCTGAGTACTTGGGATGAGAGGAATTAGAATGTTTAGTCATAATGAATGGCATTTGTTGCAGGTGCTAAATGGTAGAAATTATTATTCCCATTTTACAGGTTATGAAGCTATAACGTATCTAAGATATTAGTAATTCAGCTAGTAAAAGAAGGGACTTGGGGCTACAGGGTACCCTGAGATCACTAAACAGTTCCTGATTAACATATTGCAGTAATCGCAATCACCATTTATTGAGCACCGTGCCTTTCAGGTCACAATGATAGCAGGATGTAGACTTTTTTATCACACATATGTCAGGCAAGGAAACTGAGACTCAGAGTTCTTCTGAAACACGTCCAAAACAAGGAATTTGGACTAGGATACAAACTGCTTCTTTCAGACTCAATAACCTACTTTGGCCAAAACTCGAGAATGCTTCCTACTCTGCCTCTTTGGCGTATCAGCCCTAGATTCATAATGGCAACCGGATGGAGGTTAGAGACAGTCAGGTCAACTAGATTAGCTATAAACTTTTCTTGAGTACATTTTGTCTTACTAAACACAGCTTTCTTACCCTCACTGTTAAAATTTCATCCTCCAATCTACTTATGAAATCTCCAGAAGTAGCAAAGTAAGCCTTTAAATTCTTTCGATATTAACAGTACTGCTCACATATTCACAGACATAATTCTGCAAAGTAAGAGAGGGCTGGGCATTAGCATTACGAACAAATGCTTATTGAATACTTTATTACAAAGAAGCTCCTGGTGCTGGGAAATGGGAACATGTAGAGGATCCCTGTCCTCCCTGGGCTTGCAGATGGAACAAGGATACGTAAAAAGATAAGTGGCAACACAGGGAGGCACTCACTGGGCCCCAAAGGGCCAATGCCAAACACAGGTGCAACAGGATGGCTGGGAGATAGCTTTTGAGCAGTCGCTAATGTGCTGGCCTCAGTCCTATGTGATTTTATGCGTTATCACATCAATCCTAAGAGGAATTCAGTGGTGAGAGTAACTTACCACTGGGGACTGGAATGACCAGAAAGTTTTTCAGAGAGGAGGTAAGACTTGAGCTGGGTTGAATTATATGGTGATATTTCTCAACAGTAATGAAAGCTGGCTGAGCTGAAACCCAGAGCATAATTTCTCACTGGCTGGCTGCTCCAGATAGTAATAGCTTCAGTGCCCTTCAGAATGGAATTCTTCTGAGCCTGTGAAGATGTGTGAGGTGTGCTCGGCAGGTAAGCATTCTTCCATTTTCCTTCCACCCATTGCTTTAATTAAACACACTTTGCTTCTCTTGCTTAGTTCTTCCAATCCTCAAGAAGTTCTGGAACATTGCTGTTGTAGCCGAAACGGCAGTTCGCTGAGTGGAAATAGGCAACAGGGGAAAGAAATCTTTAAAGTCCCTTTTCACATTGGTGGTGGGGGTGGAGGCCGAAGTGTAAAGAAAAAGATGGGTTTCAGGGAAGGCTTTCTCTTATTTCTGAATCTCTTTTTTGATATTTTAGCACTGCTTTGTTTCTTGTAAGAGTTCAGTTGGATCCATGGCAGGAGGCTTCCAACTTACATTCTGCCTCCAGGAGTTAGGACATAAAAGAAAAAGTAGCTAACATTTATTGAGGGCTTACTGTCAGTTTAAATCTGCCATATAGTTTACTTTATTTAATCCATACAATAATATGGGTACATTTGACTGATGAGGAAACTGAAGCCTAGCAAGGTTAAACTAATTGCTCAAGATTACACTGCTAATCATAGATATAAATGACTAAAATTGTCAATCTTATTTTTTTAGTGCAACAGCCTTATTGAGATATAACTCATCTACTTTCAATTCACCCATTTAAAGCATGCAATTAAATGGATCTTAGTTTATTCGGAATGCAATCAGTACCACCATTGATTTTGGAAAATTTTCATTTCCCAATAAGAAACTGTATTCATGAGCAGACACTCCCTATTTCTCCCTTGTTCCCCCTCAGCCCTAGACAACCACCAAACAACTTTCTGCCTCTATAGGTCTATTTCACATGAATGGAACATGTCATCTTTTGTGACTGGCTTCCTTTACTTAGCATCATGTTTTCAAAGTTCATCCATGTATCAGTACTTCATTGTTTTTTAGGGTCGAACATTCTATTGTATGGATATACCACATTTTACTCATCTATCTCCTCAGCTGACAGACATTTGTGTTATTTCTATCTTTATGAGTTTTTGTGTGGGCATATGTTTTCATTTCTTGTGTGTGTGTGTGTATCATCTATCTATCTATCTATCTATCTATCATCTATCATCTATCTACATATGGAGTGAGAGAATGGAAAGAGAACTCTTGGATCATAATGTAACTATGTTTAATCTTTTGAGGACTTGCCAGACTATTTTTCAAAGTGACTGAACCATTGTACTTTTTGCCAGCATGGAATCTTCAGCATTCACTACCAATAGGTAATTTATACATATTTGCATAGAAAATATTCATACAACTTATCAAAGCTCTAATAAGACCAATTAGAAACTGGAAAGTTTTCTTAATGAGAAATTTTAAAGTGAAGCTGAACTCCAGGTTTTGAAGCTTTGGCATTTTTTTGATGTGAAGTCATCAGTTGAGCTAAATGCTGAAGAGGTCAATGATGAGAGCTGCCATATTTGTATGTTCCGTTATTCCCTGAGGCAGTAGAAGGATTTTTTTATTTCTAGGACTGAGTGGTTTCTAGCATTACACTTGCAGTTGCAGCAATAGCCTAGATTGTCTATTATTCTGAGAAGCCATTGACATTTGCTGAAAGACAGCACACAAAGAAGACATGCATAATATCTATGCATATGTCATGCTGATCTCTTGAAAGTTAGATGCACCGGGCATCAAGTTCACTGCCATTTGATTGCAAGTGACAAATCACAAGGCTATTCTTTAAAAATGAAATAGGAAAAGAGAAACACAGAAAGTGATTTTTCCCCTTGCTCTTGCAACAGATTCCTGAAAGGGGCCCAAAAGGTGATTTTCAACAAGGTATACTTGAGTGGGCCTTGAGGATTTCTGTCTGGGAATGGAGGCTCTTTTGTTGAGTGCTTACTCTGAGTGCTCTGAGTGGATATGAGAAGTCCACAAGCCTTGCTCTCTGCCCTCTGGGGGTTTCTACTGTGTATTATGATAGAATAAGTCAATGCTAACTTGTGACTACAGGTACTATAAGGGTCAAGGAAGGGGAGAGATGGAGTGTGCTGGAGTGCAGGCTAAGGAAGCCCATATAGCAAGTGCGGCCAACCTTGAAGTAGCCATCCCCACGACTGAGTTAAGCTGGAAGGAATGGAATAATTATTTCAGATGAGGGTAGTGGCATGTATTTGATAGGAGCCAGAATGTATTTGGTCATTGGAAATGTCATGATGTATTTTTCTGTTTTTCTATGTAAAAATATGTCATGACTTTTTTGATGACCCAATATTTAGCGCTGAATGGACAGATGAATCTGGCAAGAACAGAAGGCATGCACAAAAGCTGAAACAAAAAGAAGCTATAAAGCAGAATAGCATCATGGGAAGAGCATGGGACAAGAAAGTTGGACATTTGAATTTTGCTTTCAGTTGTACTACTGGCTAGTTTTTGACATAGCTCTGTGATACAACAACTTGAGGCTTCTATTTCCTAATCTATATGCTGTGAGGCTGAACTAGTTCTGGTTTTCAACTGTAGTTTTACGCTATAGTTCCCTGAGTTTTTAAAATATGGATTCCTGAGTCTGACCCACTGAAGGTCATGTTTTTTTAGGGATGAGGTAAGTCTAAGAGTTAGTAATTACTTTGGGTGCATACTAGAATTACCTAGGGAACTTTAAAAACTAGTGATGCCTTCATTCTAATCCCAGAGTTTCTGATTTAATGATTCAGTGGGTCTTGGGTGTGTCTAAGGCTTTGAAAGCTCCCCAAATTCTTCAGGTGATTCTAATGGGCAGCCTGACTGAGAAACAATACTCTCTGGTGAGTTTGGTGCCTCTGATTGATTCTGAAGTGCTGGATAGCTGGCTAGAGATTCCATTTGAAGAGAAGATCTCTAAATCTAGTTCTAACCCTAAAGGACTTTGCTTCTGTGCAAAGTATGTCAGAATCAAGTGGTAGAGGGCTTCCATGCTGGACTGAAAGATTTATATTTTGTTTTATAGGCAGCAGGAGACAAGTGAGATGTTTGGGCAGAGGAATAATTTAAGCTATCTCGCCTGAGTACAATTCATTGCTTTAGAACATGACAACCACCACTAGGGAAAAAAAAAAAAAAAAGGAAAAGAGAAAACTGCCATTCCATTCATGCTTTTATCTGAAAAGGTTTCCCACTGCCAATTCCATTGTGTGACAGAGGCTAGTGGCTCTGTACAGTACAAACACTAACAGTCAAGGGGGAGAGGTGGTGAGAGTCAGGAACACCACTTGGGACAGGGTGATGCAGCATGGCCTATAATAAAGCATAGACACTCTTGCTTAACTGAAGGATGGGACTCCTGGTAGACTGGACATGGAGGAAGCTAGGATGGATTTAAATTACATTTTTTTTTTTTAAGAGAGATATTTGCTATAGGGTGTGTGCACTCACCAGAGAGACAGGGGGAGACAGAGAGACAGAAAGTGAGAAATCATCACCCAGAGGAGATGACCATGCTGCAATCTCTTCTCCTCCATTCTTGTCTCAGGATTTTTGGCACACACACACGTACCTGGCATGAGTTTAAGCCACCGAACCCAGGACTTGAACAGCGGTTGACTCTGTGGGAGTCCAGAAACATAACCATATGCCTTATGCTGGTCTCTTAAATTACGTACTCTTTTCAGTTCCTCTTTTAACCTTCATATGAATCGAGGTAAATCTCAATTGGTCAGTACATGGCTTTAACCACTCTAACATTTGCCAGTCTCCTCTTTTTTAAAAAGAGAGTGGGCCACAGGCTTAGAGCTCCAGGCAGGCGACATCTGGCTAGAATTTAGCTATGTGGTATCTGTCTTTATCTGAATCCATTTGATCCCAAGTTCCAGAGTGTTCAGATAGGGAGGGTTGAGACCTTCTATTTCCAATAACTGATGTTGATCTTCCATGAACAGCAATGACTCACAGCTTGCTTCTTGAAAGAGACTAAGTAAAAACACAAGTTGATTTGAAGAGAAATGTTAATAATAACATAGATGAAAAGGGGAAGCATAAAGGAAATAAAATTGTGAAGGAGTATACAGATAAATTATCTTCAAGAAACACAGGTGGGTTCTTTCCGGAATCTGGACTGGAAGTTAGAAGCCCCAATCCAGGATCATAGTGATGAGGGGTTTTTCTGGTCCTTATAGTCAGGGTCTATACTGGATAAGCTTTTGTTTTTATTGGAGAGGTTTTTCCTATAGGGCACATGTGCTTGCCAGAAAGACAGAGAGAGACAAAGAGACAGAAAGTGAGAAGTCATCCCCCCAGGGGGGATGGCCATGCCACAAGCCCTTCTCCTCCATTATCTTCTCAGGATCTTGGACACACACACACACACACACACACACACACACACACACACACACACCTGGCATGAGTTTTTAAGCCACTGGGCCTGGGACTCAAACCACAGTCGACTACATGGGAGTCCAGTGACATAGCCATTATGCCAACTGCTGGTCCCTATACTGGATAAGGTTTAAAAGTATTTCCAGGTTTGAAATTCTATGTTTCCATGACAATATTTCTAGACTGCAATCACTTTCCAGGAGACCAATCATACCTGGTTATTCGCCAGTGGTCATGCCACCCGTCATCCATTGGGTGCTGAGAGTTTGTAGACAGCTTCCTGGGACTCACCCTGGGATCATTCCTGTGGAATCACCAGACCCAAGTTTCCTCAGAAATTGTAGGACAAGAACATTTTCAGGAATGTGGGCCCTGCAGGCTAAAACATCAAAATCTTTTAAGGAGAAAAAGAACCGAACTAAATCAAACCAAAACAAAACTAATGAAAACCAAAACAAACCAAGTAGTCTTGCAGTTAACGGATTTTTTTTTCTACTTTCCATTTTATTTTAAGAGAAGGAAATGCTGTTTCTTTTTCTTTCCTAAAAATATTTTGTCAGGAAACTGATGATGTATACTGTTTAAAATGCATTTGTTGTCACTATAGCCACGCTTCATAGGACCAACATGGAAAAATAACTCTTCAGTCCTCTTTCTGTACCAAAAAGAAAAAGAAAAGAATTAAGCAACAAATATTATTCATAG